CAAGTGGAACTTAATTTAGCTAAAAAGCATCTGCACAGGAAAATAAATAATAAATAGAACAAATAAGCAACCTATTAAATGGAAGAAGGTATTCACAAACTATATATCTGACAAAGAACTAATATCCAGAATCTACAAAGAACTCAAACAAGAAGAAGCAAACAACCTCATTAAAAAGTGGGCAAATGACATGAACAGACATCTTTCAAAAGAAGACATAAAATAGCCAGCAAACATATGAAAAAATACTCAATATCACTCATCAAGGACATGCAAGTTAATACCACAATGAGATACTACCTTACACCAATCAGAATGGCCATTACTACAAAATCAAAAAACAATAGATGCTAGCACGGATGAAGAGAAAAGGCAACATTTATACACTGTTGATGGGAGTGTAAATTAGTACAACCTCTATGGAAAATGGTATGGAAATTTCTCAAACAACTAAAAGTAAATCTACCATTTGATCCAGCAATCCTACTACTAGGTATCTACCCAAAGGAACAGAAATCGTTTGATAAAAAAAGACACCCGCACCATGTTCATCACAGCACAATTCACAATTGCAAAGATGTGGAGTCAACCTAAATGTCCATCAAGCCATCAGTGGAAAATTAAAATGTGGTAATATACACAATGGAATACTACTCAATGATTAAAAAGAATGAAATAATGTATTTTGGAGCAACTTGGATGGAACTGGAGAACAGCATCCTAAGTGAACTAATGCAGGAACAGTAAACCAAACACTGCATGTTCTCACTTATAAATAGGAGCTAAACGAAGGATCTGCACAGACAGGAAACGGTAGAATGGACATGGGAGATTCAGAAGAGAGAGAGGGAAAGGAGTAGAGAGACAAAAAAATGACCTGTCTGGTACAAAATGCATAATGGATACATTTAAAGCCCAGATCTAAAACCTTCCAAAGCTATTGAAATAATTTTTAAAAATTAAAAGAACTCATTTTTAAAATTACTATGGATTAAAATGATTCTACAGAAAAAAAATGAGGGTGATTTTGTGATTTTTTTTAATCACTAAAGGAAAATAAAAATTTTTGTTCAAAATGCAAATTTAATCTGAGAGACCTGGAGCAGTTTGTTATCTGCTGTTCAGATTTCCACTACAAATGCAAGAAAAAAATGTCCTGTGTTTTCTTTTAGTTTGTCTGATTGTGGCAACCAAGACTGAATAGAGGAATAAATACAGGGGAGTAACAGTTTCAAAACTCTGGAGTAACCTTGTAAACATCAAAGAGCCAGTTTTACTCTAGAGAAGAACCTAACATTTAAATTTACATGAGATGTGTTGGGAAATATCATCTACCACATTCACTGGGTTGATTGTTCACTTGATAAAGCTTAAAGATTAAAAAAAATGAAAACTTAGTTTATTTTTACATTATAAAAAACAAGGGAAGAGAAGGTAGATGTCTAAATGTTAAGGCTCTTGTAAGTATTTTATAATGTGATAACTTATCTTGTGGCATACATTTTGGAATTTCTCATTCTGGTATCAGCTTGTAATAACCTAACCTCTGAAGCACAATAGTGTAACTTCCTTAAATAACTGGCTGTTATCCAATCATTATGCAACAGAAACATTTTAAATCATTTTGTGACTGTACTCCTTTCCTACAGAAAATTAACTAGAGATAAAAATATTTTCTTCAGCTGGGCTCGGGAGCTCAGCCTGTAATCCCAGTACCTTGGGAGGCCGAGGAGAGTGGATTGCCTGAGCCCACAGGTTCAAGACCAGCCCGAGCAATTTGGTGAGACCTCAACTCTACAATAAATTAAAAAAAAAATTAGCCGGGCATGGTAGCGCGTGCCTGTAATTCCAGCTACTTGGAAGGCTGAGGCAAAAGGATCAGCAGGTCGAGGCTGTGGTGGCCGTGAGCATGCCACTGCACTCCAGCCTGGGCAACAGACTGAGACTCCAACTCAAACATATATATATTTTTTTTTTTAATAAAACACATATATGATTTACAAAACTCCTCATCAATAATTGCTAAAAATAATTTACAAAAGAAACTTTCTCTAACACTCTGTAATGAAGATTCAATATAATTAAAATTCATAGCAGAAGAAATATTTATAGGAAACAGGCCCTCAAGTGATCTCAATGTGCTTTGATCCATAATTGGATGTTTTCTATTATACAATTATATTTGCCATGTATAAGGTTTGATATTAACACTTGTATATAATGCACACTTCTCATTGAACACTTGGTCAAATATACTGATAAATTCTATTAAGCTTTTGAATTCTGTAAAATGAGAAATAAACAATCCTCTGAATATTATTTGCTGAATCTCTTTTAGTTTTGAAAATTATGTTAATAAGTGTTTAGACAACATAAAATAATGTGGCTAATTTGGTCAATGCTACAAAAGCCTCAAGTAATCATATAAATTCACTTCCCCACTCCTCCAGAGACTGATGGTTTTATTTTGCTCCAATTATATATCACATCGATGGAAATATAAGCATGGATCATTTTTCGTTCACATTTGCATTTTGTGCACTGAAGTGGCCATGTACAAATGGCTAATCTATGCATTCAGTGTATGCATACATATACAAAAATTCCTTGAGAGAGGTTGGTAAGATATATACATAACTTTGTGGTGGTTACTCATTGTGTAAAAAACACAGGATGAAATGAGGATAATTGGAAGAACTTCTGCCTTATGTGTATTACTTGAATTTTTATAACATGACTGTCCAACATATTACTTCCTAATGAAACCTTTTAAAAGGCCTCATCTTCACCCCTGCACTATAACCAGCTTGGTCATTCTGGTCTCATTTCTCACAATGGTTATGGACAAAATGAAACACATATGCACACGCACACACACACACACACACACACACACACACACACAGATACACACACCTTCAGCTCTACTTGGACTGTCTACTCAAGAACCTAACAAATTAACTCAATTATTGAATCTAATTGTGAGTCACAGATAAAAATAACTGTTATCTAATTTTCTTCTCTCAAAGTTGTTTGATTCATGTTTAGAGTCAGCCATTGATAACAATTAAAATGAATAGTCAATTAAGACATATTTAATAGCTGTTTTGAGTTAGTCACTACAGTGAAAATGACAGAAGATATAAAGCATTAAAATATACCGTCCTTCCACTATCTGAGTGACCTGAGTCAAATAACTCAGCCTCTGGGTACAGGTGAGGTGTAGTTTTATTACTAGAAAAAATTATCCATAAATCATTACATATATTTATATATGAGATGCCAAAAAAATGTATACACATTTTAAGTATGACATTTGCTCAAAAGACAGCATTAATCCAATGAATGCTAGTGTCACCATGTGACAGGCAAGACAGCCAAAGAAAAGGGCAGAAACACGGTTGAGTGAATGTCATACTACACATTGCTACTGTAATTCAATTCAACTTTGAAAAGTAATACACAGATAGCATCACCTAAAATGCATATGCACTATCCAACACCATGTGTGTATGTGTGCATACATATATATATATGCACATACATCTATATGAATCAGGGCTTCTGAGAGTCCTCCAGGGGATTATTCTCAGGATTCTAATCTCAACTCTGGTAGGAGTACAAATTAGTGTACAGTGTAATAGAACCAGGGTGTTGAGGCTGATGACTGTGCTAAAGAAGATATACTAAGAGTTCAGTTGCTTAGAAATGTCAGTAATAATAAGAAAAAATGGACATTTTGGTCACCCCATTACATGCATTAAATAATGAGACAATAAAATGAGATGAGCCTTACAACACACGTGAGCATTTCATCAGAAAAAAAAAAGATTTATAATACAGAAAAAGAGTATCAGTTGTGATCGCAGGTTTTAGAGTATAATTCCATGTGTTCACATCCTCACTCTGCCTTCATTATTTTAAGTAGCCTTGGACAAGTAGATTAATATCTTTCTATTACTTCCTAAGTAAGTTAGAGATAATAATAGCATCCACCTACTAGCATGATCATCAGAATTAAATGAGCAGGGCCACATAAAATACAAGATTAGTAGCTGGCATTTAGGAAGTACTCAATAAAATTAACTATTATGATTAATAACAATCACTATCAATCACCCTTTTCCTCAACCCTTATTAAACAGAGTTGCGAGAGAATCTGAAGATTATTTAGTGCTATAGACTGGATGTTTGTGTTCCTCCAAAATTCATTAAGACATAATCCTTGATGTAGTGGTGTTTGGGGGTCTTTGGAATGTGACTAGGACATGAGAGTGAAGTCCTCATATATGGGATTAGAACACTTATAAAAGAGACTCTAGAGACATCCCTCATCCCTTCTACCATGTCAGGATAAAGAGAGAAGATGGAAGTCTATGAACCAGGACGTGAGCCCTCGTTGAACGTGATGGCACATTGATCTCAAATTTTCCAGCCTCCAAAACTGTGAGAAATACATTTCTGCACAAAGCTGGAGTTTTCTCTGCACAGCCTATGGTATTCTGTTATAGCTGCCCAATAGACTAAGACATCTAAAAGCTTCATGACATGTAAAACTTCATACCACAAGCCACTCTGCCCCAGTTTGTCACAGCTGTTTCTGAGAATCTCTTTGTTTAATTATATAAACAGTAAGAATTTGGTCACTGATCGTGTTTCTACTTGCACCGTACCTTCTAGAAAGTTTTAGAGTCAAAATGCTGGCCCAATTCAAATAACAGAACCAGATGATCACGTGTTCTGTATTTTATTGTTCTTTTACCTGCAGCTACCTTTCATTTTCTGTGCATATTTCCTTTTGCCAGCTATCCTGCACTTTTCTCTCCTGTTTTGTGTGACGTATGTCTATATGCTGTCTTGACTACTTTAGGAAATGAGGTGAGATTAACAACCGGATGCTAAGTTTGCACATCCACAAACATATATACACACAGCAGTGAAAAGGGAAATGGAGCAAGGAAAGCATTGGGGGCAAGAATAAGCAGATGTGTTCAGCTTACAGTTATGGCAAGTAGCTCCCCTGTAACCAGTGTTGGTGCAGTTACAGTGAAAGGTGCTCCAGGACTGAGAGCATTCCCCGCCATGTTCACAATAGTTGGGTAAACACCTAAAAGAAGGTGCACAATCACTGTTTTTCATTGTTATACATCATAAAGCATTGATCATTCATACACATTCATGTGAAAGAAGAATGTCAACCATAACATAAGGAGTAAATTTAACATGACTAATGATTCTTCAGTCTGTCATTAAGGTACTTTAATCACAGAACTAAACCTTAGATCAATACATTCATCAGATTTAAGCCAATTCTCTGGTAGTTGTGACTGCTTAATTTTCAACATGTTTCACTATGTCAGAGCCCTTTATTTTCCCTCAGCAACACAACACAAATTCAATATGTTGCCAGGAATAGCAACACCTTACATAAAATAACATTTTATCACATTGAATTACTAGATTGTTTGAACATTTAAAGGAAGAAGGAATAAAGAAAGGGGGGAAAAGGAAAAAGAAGGAGGGAGGAATATCTTTCTTCACTTGGCATATATATACAGGAATATGGAAGAATATAGATTACAAATTCACACATTTCAGCAGTGTGTTGGGGTGCTCTAGGGTGCTGACTAGACTCACTGGGACTCCCAGGATATTTTAAATTTTCAGGAGAAATATCTGGTATACCCAACATCTGTCAAACATAGTGTGACTTACTAGCTCGAGGTAGTTTAGTCTCAACATTAGATCATAATATATTCCCTTTAATCACATCCTATCTTTGAGAAGCTAGATTTGAGTAATTGATTTTTAAAAAGGCAAGTACCACGTGAAATTAATATTCAACAAAAAACATGAGGCTGATAGAGTCTCATATGATTTCAAGCTTTCAAAACTGCACAGTATTCAACAGGTATACATGTCCAATTGCTAAGTAACTGTGCTTAAAAATAAATTATTTTCTTTAAATTATGTGTATTACATTTTTTTAAAGGTTACTAAGTTGTTAGGATAAACTGGTTTGAACCTAAACCACTTTTTAATTCAAAGTGTTAAGGGTATCTTTGACTTAGAGGCACAGTGGAAAATTCCTGAGACATATAGGGCACCATGGACTAAAAAGTTTGGGAACTACTGGTATGCACTCAAATAGCCCTGATCAGATAAGTGATACCCTTTAAAATGTAGAGTGAAAGATACATTGAGATCAAGGTTTTAAACACCCTCATTTATCTCTGTTTTTTTAAAAAAATAAGCTACAAATCCTGCTGAAAGCATATTTGTGACAGGGATTCGACCACTTTATTAAAACTAAGAATGAGAACTTCATGTTCTGCTTCTAGAATGTTTTTCAGTTTTAACTGAAAATAATGTTACAAATTTTTTCTGATTATAAAGACTAAAATGGTTTTCACATTCCCTCAGCTGGAACTGAAATTTAGATAGGTATCTTACTGACTAGGCCCTCACTTCCCTTTCCCTAGAACATTTCACTTAGAAAACTTCCAATCCTCATTCTTTTAGCGAACTCAGATGGCCTCAACACATTGACATTGTTAGCCAGATAATAGGATATTAATACTTAGTAGGGTGTTTGGATCTAAACTACTTTTTAGACCAAAGCATTCAGAATACTTTTTGACTTAGAAGCACTGTAAAAAATTACTGAGATACATAGGGCACCATGGACAAAGAAGTTTGGGAACTTTTGATACGAACTCAAGTAACACTGATCAGATTATTGATCCCTTTTAGAATTTAGCATGAAAGTTGCATTGAGACCAAAGCTTTAAATGCCCTAATTTATACCAGATTAACTTTTTAAAAACTGTAAAATCTACCAGGAATATATTCATGGTGAGGTTTCTGTCACCTCCTCTATTAAACCTAAGGATGGGAACTTCACGTTTTATTGATAGGATAGTTCCAATTTTAACTAAAAATAATGTTATAGATTTTTCCTGATTACAAAAAATAGAGATTCACTGTACAAAAATCAATAATCCAGGTAACAGTAGAAACGGGATGCCATTTACAATCTCACTATAAAGAAGTTACTACTACAAACATACATATAATGTGTGCAAATTCATAAATATAATCATAAAGAAATGTTACATTGCACTCTGCTTTTTAAGCATCCAAAAATTAATAATGGACATCTTTCCCATTTTATATATATTTTAGCATTTTCATAGATTCACAGAAATTCCTTCAAAGAATTTTAAACAATTTAAATCAATGGCAATCAAAAGGGGATTTTAAAATAATAAAACAAGCCTATCTGGTAATCAAATAAAAAAGGACAAGAACAGGCTATTCTTTAGCAGATCTCACATCATATTTTTAAAAGGCATGGATATAAATATTTTTGACTAAAATTCAAAATAATGACTCTTTAGTTATTATGAGACGTGCTGTTTCTATATGATTTGCCTCTGAAACACCTACTGGATCTGTTTTTCTTGCTTCTTGTTAGACTATACTTTTCAGGTTTTTAATTAAAATATGAAAGGCTGAATCGTGAATTTTATTTGAATTTATTATATATAGTAATGTTTGACTACTAATAACCTACAGCAATGTATATATATATAGCGAAGTACTTGTTCTCACCAAATGTTCTAAACAGTTGTGTTTTATACTTTTCTCCTCCCTAGTCATTTCAGGACAAGATAAGACAATTCATTAGCTAATTTTCTCTAGCACTAAAGCTTTTCCTTAGACATTCCCATTGCTATTTTCGTTGCTTCTGAACTTGAACAAATGCATGCATTAACACACCCAAACCTGAAATGTGCAATTCTGATTTTTTCTGATTCCCTGTTCATTTCAAATTGTGCAATTCTGATTTTTTCTGATACCCTGTTCATTTCAAATTGTGCAATTCTGATTTTTTCTGATTCCCTGTTCATTTCAAATTGAATTTCAAAAGACTTTCACATAGTGCAAAAGTTGGCCATAATTAACAATGGTGAAGTAAAATCTATATAACATTATCATATTGAAAGAAACTAAACAAAGTTAGGTACCCAGGAATGCTGAGATAATAGTGACCACCGGAATTCAAATCTCATGTCCTATCTCAAAACTATAAAGTTCATCTCTACATCTCATTTCATCCCACCCCGCAAAAGCCATGCCTTCAGTATGCTCAAAGAGGAGAAGGAGGATAAAGGACAATGGGCAGAGACTCTGTTCCAGAGGGGAGACAAGGACAAGCCTGGAGGGAGGATGGCACAATGGTGGTTGGAGCCCGGCATCAAGGACCAGGTGGTAAAGATGGATTGAGAGAAAAGAACAGGTGATGTGGTGGAGATGCAAAGCCTACAGTCGAGGAAACCAGGAGGTTGTGCTAAGCCTACTGAAGTCATAAGGTAGACACTGTCATGCCAGGGTCTTAGTTATAGTCAGGAGTGTCTGCCCATGTCATTTGAGATCAGGTGTCAATTGATACCAAGTGTTATTACATACTCGCATACCAGGTGCATTTGAGACCAGGCACAGACCAGACCCTCAGTCTTATGGAGTTTGGAGAAAGGTAAGTGGTGTCCATCTGTGGCTAAGATGGCAACTTTCCCTAAGCAGTTCTTAAAAAGTTGACATCAAATTGTATACTTAACAGTTTTCTTTAATAAGTGATTTGGGTTCAAGCAACTTAGTAAATATTGATGTCCTAACAGCTGTCACCTTGCTCCAGTCCCATTTGTGTTTTCTGCCCCAGAGGTGGGGATGTGGACAGCAGCGACCTTTGTTTCTGCCTTCACCCCTCAGGCACTCCCACCCAGAGTCCCTGGACTGAAGAGGGTCACTCCCCTACATTTCCACAGAGGACAGAGAGAGGACTTCAAGGTGTGTGTGTGTGTGTGTGTGTGTGTTTGTGAGAGAGAGAAACTGTGTATAAGGAAGAAGTGAGTGTGTGAGGAGCATGGCAATGACCTTATGAGTTCGAGTGTGTCAGGATGGCATGTGCATGTATATATGTGTGCGGTGTGATTGTGCATGTATATGAGTTAACATGTGAGGAGTTGTGTGAACGTGTATAAGGATGGTGTGTGAGTGTGTGAGGAGCTTAGGGATATTTATATGAGCACAAGAGTGTGTATGTGTGTAAGATAGACTGTGTACAATAACCACTTTGGTACATGTGTGTAGAGTGGGTGTGAATAGCTGTGCAGTGTGAATGTGTGTTTGTATATACACCTTTATATGCAGGTTTTATCCTACTTAAAATCAGTCACAGAAAAAAACATTGCTTTAACTTCCTGTCAGATTTTTAATATGTGTTTAATATTTCTGCTTGCTTTAATTATGATTTCTTAAACCATTAAATGCTATGTTTATTATGCATGGATTAAATATTAACCACTTTAAATGTTAACTTTCACCCAGAGAAACTGCATGGCATGGCAGGCAAACATTTCAGGGGTCTTTCCGAAGCCAGAGTGCTTGAATTAGAGGCTGTTCTCTACCTTTTCTTAGCTATATCATCTTGACCAGCTTACTTGCCCCTTCTGTGCATCTATTTCTATATTTATAGGAAGCAAATACTATTCAGAACAGGTTCGAGGGTTTTTGTGAGAATTAATTTAAATGACAATTCGTGTTAATTGTTTAGCATAGGACCTGGTATAGCAATTTAAAAAATAAGTCTCTGTTTAATATTGCATTGGAAGCTATGTCAGTAGGTATAGCATATAAGACCAAAGTAAATAGATATATATTCTTCTGAGTGTAAGACAAAGAGTTTAGAGATACATTTGGAAATTTAAAAGTTATGCACATGTTACTTTGTCTTTCACTATATTTTTTAAGATTGCTAGGGTTACTATTAGCCTAAAGTTTTCCTTAAAAGGAAGCATTTATAATCAAGATCTATCCATAAATAGCTATTTCTGAAAAGTTTTTTTTGGTATGGTACTAAAAGAATATATTCCTTAATTGTGCTGTGTGGTACTCTATTTTTCAGAAAAGTACGTACCTTCAGAAGTCTGCAACACATTGTTATTGTGTTAAACATCATCTTCAGAACAAAATATATAGGAGGAAATGTGAATATATTTACACCAAAATAACTTTCTGCAATCTGAAGTACTCCACACACACAATCACTCATACTTTAAATGACTGAGCCTCCCTACTTGTTCCCTGGTGACTGCTATCCATCAAGGACTTGGGAACTTTGTACCTTTGCGTGTAAATCCCACCTTAAGAGACCAGACCCAGGAAGCATTGCTACAATGCCCTCACCAGAGCCAGGTTTTAGATCCCAGAACTGATATGTCTATGGACAAGGTCATGATGAATGGACCAAGAAGTCATTTAATCCCCAGACCAACCCAATTAAGGTTTATTATTTAAATTATCCCTTTACATATCTTCTTTTATTACAGAAGGAATTATTGTCTCTGAGAATTGCTTTAAATAAAAAAATATTTGTGGAGAGGAATTGATGTCCTTCTAATCTACTGTTAAATATAGCCATTATTACTTTTTATCTGGACATAACACAGTATCTATCAATGTTCAAAAAAGGATCCACAGACATTACTATGTGGTTTATTGACTGTCAGTAGATGAGTCTTTATGTTGATAAAATGTCTCATGCAAGTAAAAAGTTGCTTTTGAAGCTTAGAATTTATGCATTTATTCAAAATTCATAATGAACACTACTACAAGGTAGAAGCTAATTTTGTCATACGGGTTTTAAAGATGTTTAATCTGTAATGAGTATACCATTCCATTCACTTCAATAATTAAAATTAACAGCTTTTATATTAATGCATGACTGGAAAGATAACTGAGCTTTAGTTGCCCATGTCTAAATACAGTTTTAAATTATTATTAACCACTAATTATTAAAGTTGTCTGTCCTCTACAATTAACTCTTAAATCCTGCCTTGTCATGTCCTGTACTGATGCTCCCATTAAAGCTATCCGATCATCCCTACACTTTGATCAATACCATAGTCCCAAACTATCCTAGAGGAAGAGTTCATTTTCATTTTCTCTGCAGAGAAGGTGGTAATAGGTTTGTTAAAGAGGCGCATTAGGAGAATAGGAACCAGGTAAATTCCCTGCCTCTGAAAATATTTTTCAACAGTTAAGGTAGCAAAAGCCAATTTTATAACTGCACCACATAAGTCTCTGATTTATTGGCAACTGATGATCAAATTTACTCTTCAAGTTCCCTCACCTACTGAGTTTAATGACTTATGTTTGATACATTTAAACACATCTAAAATGATAGCAGCATCAACATTATCTTTCATGAATCAGTAGCATGTGTACCTATGGAGAGCACAGTCACGCCTTCTAAATTTTATCATTTGAAAGATGACATATAAAACAAAAGGTGTCATTTTTCCTATTTTTGATGTAAACATAACTCATGCCCTATGGAACAGATAAGGATGAGAAGGAAGAGAGAATAATCATTCGTTTTATGCATAAATTTTAATCTGCTGCAAAAAGTTTGAAAGTAGATCAAAGATAAAGAAGTGAGATTGTCCTTACCTATCTGAGATGCCACATGAGTCTATCTGAAGGTCACTGAAGTTCCCAAGGGCCCCTTGCTGAACAGAGATCAGATCTACCACTTTGTTACTGATAGAAATGAGTCTCATACATCCCTGAAATCCACCAAGTGGACTTTTACATTTGGATCCAAAGCTTTTGTCAGGACAACCTGATAAGAGCAAAACAAAGTAAAACCAATATGTATTATACTGAATCAGGATTCGGTATCATAGAATACTTTATTAAAAAATATAAGAAACAGGCATTTGATTATTTTCTGCATTAAAGGGGGTTTAAAAAAAAGGACTGCAGTCATTTTTAGTTTGATCAAAATTATAAATTGCAATTCATACAAAGTATTTTTTTCTACATTTACACAGGATTCACAGCAGTTCACCAGTATTACAATAACCATGTGCAAGAAAACTAACTTGATCCAAATTTTTAAAATATACATATTAGCTTTAAATTCTAAACCAGTCAACCAACAGTATTAAATTATATATTCTTAAACAAAGGAACTTAGTCTATTGGCCTGCAAACTTAAGAACATAAAGAATGAAAATATGCATTATAGATAAGAAAAAATAAATCAATATTGGTGAAATACCTTTGTATCTATAGAGCTAACTATATGAAATAGGAGCTATAATGACTTCAAATGATCAACTATTTAATTATCTTATGTTTCTATACATAAAACAGCATTTTAATAAAACCTAATGGCTTAATTTCAAAAATACTTCATTGCTTGGTTTTATTTATTCTTTGCCTTTAAATAAATGTTCCATTATAATAATTTTCTAACATTTATTTAGACTTATAATTATTTATATAATAAATAAATACAATATTAATTAATATCATCTGAAGTTTAATCATCTAAATGTCTCTCAATACAAGTGAAATAATTTTATGAAGTATGAATACATACATTATTCTTATATATATTTCATTAATCTTTGTTGTTCTGGTTGTCAACCACTACCACAATTTCAAAGAATAAAAAAATAAGTTAGCAACTGCTTAATTCCTGAAAAATCCCTGCTAATTTTCTACCTGGGAATTTTCATTATAATTAAATTGTTTGGGATATTTTTCCTTAATATTTTGTTTCCCTAACAAAATACATTTTCATGGCAAGTCAAGGTCAGCATTCAAGTTTAAAACTATTATCAAGCACATTGAAACATTATATTTTAACCTCATGGAGAACTTGAAGTTTCAAATTTAGTATATCAAGAAAAACTGATCAAAGCTTTTAGAGTATTAATTTATTGTACATGGCACTACACACATTTCAAGTGCTTAAATTTCTTCTGTAGTGTAAGATATGGTTACCATAATCTCAGAATGTATTCTGAATGACTTATTAACCAATTAAAAATGTTAGGATAAAAACTGAAAGGATAATAGTTCAATAATATTTTGAAGAAACTATAATATGTCAGGAATATAAACAACTCTGCTAATCTCCTTTTCTCCAGGTGGTGTTTTCCAACACATCTCAAACTATTTTAGAATAAAATAAACTGTGCAATATGCCTACAGGGAACACAACTAACAAACTCAGAATCACAAGGAAAGATCATGAAACTTTATATAAAGCACACTCTCGTATCATAAGGCACTTATATTCATTCCTAGCTACAATGTTCAATAAGCAAGAGATTCTAAGAACAAAGAAGGGTTCAACCCAGGTTAGTCTCATTAGTCTCTGATAAGAGGCAGCCACAAGTTAATATAATGCAATACCAGAGAGAAGTTCAGCTCTGAACCCAATTTGAGATGAAAGTCCTAAAATAGGAAGATTCCTGAAGAATACTTAATGCTGAATTAATGGTTGGATCCATTACTGGAGGCACTCAGCATGTTAAACACCTCTGAGGATAACAGATAGATTATCACTGTATGTCACTGTACCAGAAGTGAGATGTCGGGTTAGACTTCATGGTGGCGTCATCAGTTCATTGGATGGAGAATGTTTGCCTTACCCAAGGGAGGGAGGATGTGAGAATGTCGCACACAGTTAGTATCCCCAGCTTGTGTTTCATGGTGTGTTATGCATTTCACAAAGATTCCACAGGGGAATTTACAGAAAATAGACACTCAGCCATCCTTAATCTGGAGAACCCAGATTTAAATGTTTTAATGTTTAAACAATAAATGCTGAGCACAATGCACCACAATATAGTTCGACTTTCTGAAAAACACTCATTTGAGGGTGGAAAAAAGTAAAGAGTAAAAAGTGATGAATGGAGAATGGAAATCTATTGTATCATATGCAGAACGCTGCTAGGTCCGGAGCGGTCATTCTCCCAATGTGACAGTCACCCTCAAGACTGGCCAACAGTGATGCTGTAACCGGGAATGTTGGAATAGAGCACTCATTTGTAGCCAGGTTAGAGAGACTATATTCTTTCAAGATAACTGGAAACTTGCAGTTAAATTTAGAGAGAAGGAAAATTTATGATAATGTGTCTCAGAACATGGGATTTTTTTTTTACACTTGAAGATAAACTAGCCAAAGAATTAATGACCTAAGAAACCCCTTTTACCTAGATAAAACAGATCCTAGCGATCTACATAGAACAAAACATTTTCTTGGGTGAAGAACTGGCTCAGTTTGCTCAGAACTGAGGAAGAAGGGGGTTGTTCCCAGGACGCAGTACATTCAGTTAAAAATCTGAAAGAGAGACCAGGTGCGATGGCTCATGCCTGTAATCCCAGCACTTTGGGAGGCCAAGGCAGGAGGACTGCTTGAGCCCAGGAGTTTGAGACCAACCTGGGCAACATAGCAAGACTTTGTCTCTCCAAAAACATCAAAAAACTAGTTGGGCATGGTAGCGTGTGCCTGTCATCCCAGCTACCCAGTAGGCAGAGGTAGAAGAATTGCCTGTGCCTAGGGTGTTAAGGCTGCAGTAAACCATGATCACGCCGCTACACTCAGCCTGGTGACAGAGTGACCCTAACACACACACACACACACACACAAACATACATACAAATCTGGCAGAGTCAGTCACTCCATTGCCAGTACTACCCAGGCAATTAGGGTCCCTGTGCCAGCCCTGCATTTTAGGGGAAACTATGTTAGCTCTCCTCTAGCCATGCTTTTGCTTATGGTCTCAGAAAGCCTTACAGGGAAAGTTGATGAACATATTTGGAAGCCGCTCCCCTCCAGTCCACTTCCAGAATCCAGAATTTCCAGCCCCAAAGCCTTAAGCAGGCATCTAGAAAGATGGATCTCCTCAACCAGGCCCTGGTGGCACAAGGCTGAACAGGGAAGGGCAGAACTGGACAGGAGGGTTTCTGCTTTCATTTGTTTCTTTTCCTCCAGCCCTGGAAATATGAAGATGGCCTGAATTTTGCCGGCTTGTATTAGAGATCAAAAGAATCACATGCCAAGGTCAAACAGATTCTGGTATGGAAGAACATCAGTTGAGATGATTGAATAAATAGAGATATCTAAGGAAATGAAATTTGCTATTCAAAATAAAAAGCTTTAAAGTTGAGCTTCTATTGTGAAAACTTCCTCAATATATTTAGAACACTATCATAGCTATAAAATTATAATAAACATAAGAGAAAAATAAATCCCAAATTCAAAGGAGTGTTAGCCTGGGAGATCAAAAGACAGGATCCTAAAGGGAAAAATGTGCATTGATAGTATTTCTTTAGTAGAGGGATACATGTGTAGGAGTGGATTTAAGAAAAATCATTAATAATTTTTAAAATGTCTATATGGACTGGGAGCAGTGGCTCAACCATGTAATCCTAGCACTTTGAAAAGCTGAGGTGAGAGGATTGCCTGAGATCAGGGATTTAAGACCAGCCTGGGCAAGCAGTGAGACTTCATATCTACAATAAATCAAAAAAATTAGCCGGTCGTGGTGGCGCACACCTGTAGTTCCAGCTACTTGGAATGCTGAGGCAGAAGGATCACCTGAGACAGTAGGTCGAGGCTGCAGTGGCCGTGAGCATGCCACTGCACTCCAGCCTGGGCAACAGAGTGAAACTCCAATTCAAAAAAAAAAAAAAAATAAGTCTATATGATGTAAGATGTGAACAATAAAATAAAGTGGTTGTGGAGTATACAGAAACTCTCTGTATATCTTTAAAACTTTTCTGTAAATCTAAAACTATCGAAAAGCATTTTTTAAAAAATCATGTATGTCACATATATCATAATAAAAACAGGCAAATTACAGAGTACATATGTGATATATTTCACTATAAAATAATATTACCATATGAATAAAAGCAATCACTAGAGTAAAAATTTACATAAGATAGCTAGGCATTGTTAAACCTGTACATGAAGAATGTAAAATATTTTAAGAATGATGATTCTATTTTAATGATTTACAAACACTTTTATCCAGTCTTATATTTTGCACCATTTAACAATATGCCTTTTTTTCCCCTTATCTCTTTTAGTGCTTCTAAATCTTCCTTCGAAGTGAAAGCACTTGGTTAAGTTGTTCTATATATCTTACTATTTATTAAAAGAATGTGTTACTATAGATTGCCATAAAATCAATCATATATTCTAAAAGGTTTTATAACACAGCCTGGTTTAGGAATGAACAAATCTCAGTAAAGGAAGCAATTATATCTTTTAAGATTGCTGGCCCTAAGCAGCCTTTCACAGTAAGGATTATATAGGGTTTTTTTGTTTGTTTGTTTGTTCCTTTGATTTTAAGATCCTACAAACTGATCCATGGGCTGTGTGCTCATTGTCAATTCTTAGAACAGAATTTGTATTTCATTAGTGATAATAAAGATTAGGCTGCTTCTATCAAATTCAAAATGATTCCAGACAGAAGCAGCTATTAAAATGCACCATAACAAAATCAAAACAATGCTAATACAAGAAACTCCTCAAGTCATGATTAGGAGTCTTACTATGGACAATTTTACACCTTTGCATTTTTAATGGCAAAGAACATTCATTTAAATTTTCAGGTGATAAAGATTTATTTCCATTTTCCAGATTTTCTTTTCCAAGCTTTTAGTTCAATCCAACATTCACTGGGCAAGTATGCGCTTCATTTGCTCTTGTTCTCTAATAGAGATGACCTGGTGTTGAAGGCTGATGCCCTGATTTCCTCAAATGTATCAGTACATTATTGCTTAGCAAGGAGAAGAGGTTGCTATGGCTAATTAAGTTAAATTATTTGTCCATTGGCATAATATTGTCCTTCTGTATTGGGCAATGGGAAAGCAATAAGGATATTCTGAAGGCAAAAAAAGGCATGATCAGGAAAATACTGCAATTAAATCAGCCCATAAAGTAAATCAAAAGAAGACATATAAGGACCACTTAATGTTAAGAAAATATAACAAAATTTGAAGGTAAGAACTGAAGATGGTGGCCTGCTTAAAATTAGTCTTATAGAAATTGTAAACATAAGTAAGCTCACCTTGTAGAAATGTGTTTTAAGTAATAATGTTTTACCTTGATCTTCTCAACATTTCCATGTTCAAAGAAAGTGAGAAACTGTTCCTTAACATTTAACAATGTATTAACATTATTAACATGATGACTTCCCCAAGACATAGAGATAATGCAAATACAACAAATATGGTTTTGTTGCCCATAGACTGACCCTTTTTCTTACCTCCAAAATAATAGGTGCCACCTGAATAAACCTGCTCAGACCCCAGAGAAGGGACAGCAGAAGCCACATGACTGTCCACCACCACAATCAACTGAGTCCTTTTAGCAGATAAGGAGACAGAATGCCACTGTCCATCATTTAATCCAACACCTAGGGGAGATGAAATGAGTTAGAGAGATTGCTCTCAACAGTGAACTATAAGCAATTGGTTAGAAACAGTAATATACATATCACTCAATTGGCTATAGGATTTATTTATTTATTTATTTTTTGAGTTGGAGTCTCACTCGGTCGCCCAGACTGGAGTGCAGTGGCTGCTCCTGGCCACCGCAGCCTTGACCTGCTGGGCTCTGGCGATCCTTCCGCCTCAGCCTTCTGAGCAGCCAGAATTATAGGCGCGCGCTACCACGCCTGGCTGATTTTTTGATTTATTGTAGAGATGAGGTCTCGCTGCCCACACGGGTCTCGAACTCACGGGCTCAGGCAATCCAGTCACCTCAGCCTCCCAAAGTCGCAGGATTACAGGCTGAGGCACCAAGCCCAGCTGGCTATAGGATTTATATCTATCAATTTTTTTTAAAAAGGAAGCGAGGAAATGGAGACATGAAACATCGACATCTTCTTTGTGGAAAATGGTACATTACAAAATTTCCAGCCCTGGACAACCCTGAATGGTTAAAATATTTCAATTACTTACTGTAGATTGATTTTCAACTTTCATCTATGCAATTTACCTCTTAGCAGGGAAGGGTTTAGAAAGTGTACAGATAGTTCCAAACATTCTAGGGTTATAGCCAATAAAATACTCTAACAGCCATTTTGTACTTTTCCGTAGTCACCTTATTATGATATAGCAATAGAATATTTAACAAGTTATATCATCAAGCATTACGAAAATATTAGAAAAGACTATTAAACATAGTGAAAGTTTACAAGTATAATGCAAAGTTTAAAAATAAGGCAGTATTAAAGCCATATATATACCATCAATTATTATAATTTATAGGTTTCATATTTGAGAATTTTCTTAATTTCTAAAATGTATTAATAATACCCAAATATATACTTGAAGGAACTTTCTCAGTCACAAAGCAGCAAAGAATTTGAGTTTCCCTGTGCATGTTTCCTGCTGAGGTCAAACAAGACAATGCTTGGTTTTACTGTTTTCACTCTCACACTGTAAACAATTTTTCTTCCCATTTTTGTAAGTTTTTTGGCGATTTCACTGTTAAAAGTGGCCCCCAAGTGTAGTGCTGAAATGTTGTCTAGTGTTCCCAAGTGCAAGAAGACTAGGATGTGTCTTTTGGAGAAAAGATATGTGCTAGATAAATTTCGTTCAGGCATAAGTTGTAGTGCTATTGGCCATGGTCCAGTATTAATAAGTAAACAACACATACTAAACCAAGTGTCTTCAAAGAGAAGCACACATAAAACAAGATTAGGTATTGATTGGTTGAGAAAAATGTTGCAACAAGGTGCACAGGAGCATATAACTTAATATTTTCTGTAGGCACAATGGTTCAATATTCCCTAATACAGTGTTCACAGGAAGTTTTGGAACATGTGTCTAAAAGTATCTAACCTACATTCTTCATATTTCAGTTTTAAGGTTTTTCCTGTTATCTTTCACAAACCAAGCCAGAGTGTACATGTGTACATTTTGTATCACATATGTACACTCTAGCTCCCTGCGTTTCTCCTACAATCTTGTTCTCAAGGTTCTACATATACACGACTCTACAGTTACTTCATGTTAGGTTGTCCATTGGTCTCCAACAGAGCTTCTCAAACTACCTGTGGGGATGAACATTTTTATTTTCTGATGTGTTGCAAATGATCATTGAACAGAGTATATAATTAAAATCAACACTCTACATAAATATTTATATACAATTCTAATTATATTCTTAATTTTACATAAATATGGAAGTGGGCTAAATAGAAATAATCTTACATAAAATAGTAATTTTTATGAAGGAAAATTGTGATTGTCTCTATTTATTATTTTTACATTTCTTCTGTATTGTCCAACTTTGTATATGTATATACATATATGCATAATACAAAAGTTGCTATAATAAAAAATTAAGGTGTTTTTACCACCTCTTAAAAATAATCTCTAGTCCTTCTTAAGGCAGTTTCAGTGTCAGGAATTTGTGAGATGGCATAGCCTTTTTTTCTTAAAGGGAATTAAGTCTACAAGGAATTCTGTGGTTAAATACTAAGCAGAGATGTGAAACCTAAGCATCTTTGTTATAGGTTTACTAGTCAGATTTACATGCATTTGAATAGTCAACTCTGTGTAATTCTGCAGATCAAATTAGAAACAAAAATATAACAACTCTATTAAACCCAAAGAGCTCCTTTCTTGATAGTATATGTGATTTCTTTTCTGATTTAAAACAAACCTCTTTTCTGATATTATATGTAATTTATTTTACTTCCCGGAGCTGTTTTCTATCACATGCTTTCAGATTGAAAATGTATCAAAGCTCCCTTAGGTGATTACATTTCTTTGTCCTGGATGTATTTAGTCTAACACAAATTCAAAACAGGGCACAGAAGCTCACTTTTACATCACATTCATGGAGCAAAAGACTTTCCAAGACCAAGCTCTGGCTTGGTTTGTGAAAGATAATAGGAAAAAGCTTAAAACTGAAATATGAAGAATGTAGGTTAGATACTTTTAGACATATTTTCTAAGAGTGGACTCTGAACTAAATGGCTGAATAGAGTTATGAAACCCCTGACGGTACGGAACTGGATTAAAATAAATCAAATGTCCCAGATTTGTCATTTAGTGCTTCCTTTAATAGGATACCTTTAGAGTGAAAATTCTTATGTACACTTTGCATCACATGCACACTCTAGCCCCCTGCATTTCTCCTACGATCTTGTTTTCAAGGCCCTACATATACACGACTCTACAGTTACTTCATGTTAGGTTGTCCATTGGTCTCCAACAGAGCTTCTCAAACTACCTGTGGGGTTGAACATTTTCTTTTCTGATCTATTGCAAATGATCACTGAATAGAGTATATTATTAAAATAAATTTCCTAAGTAATTATGTATTAATTGCTATGATAAATTCAAAATAAATTACTAAAGAAATGTAAAATATAAGCTCACCAACCATGTGCTTAGATGTTACAGTAATCTCTGTTTGTTATAACAGTTTCTAAGAGTATCATCTCAGTTTTGCACTCATCTTGTCATGGATCAGTAACAAGTATTTCGCTGAGCCAGTACTTTGAGTAGCAGGGCTCTGGGAACCATTGGTTAGGCATACAGCAGGGTTAAGTAAAAGACCTGGGGAGGCCTACTGTCCATATGGAAACTAAAAATAGACGAAAAACAAAAGACTTCCAGGACAATCCACTCTATAATTTGACACAGTTAAATGTGTTTATCTAACCAGATAGCAGCTTATGAAGTTGTGCCATGTTTGTGAGTGAACCTGCAGAAGAAAGTTTTTCTCAAGCCTCATTTGTAATAGACATCATTTACTTATGATAAGAAGACTTATTACCTGTCAATGGGATTTATTACTCAAATTAAATCATGAAGGGTCTCTGTAATTCATTTCAATGAACTCTATATAATTTTAAATTAGATTCTATTTTTTGGTAAATATAAAACTCCTTTTACACTTCTAGATCTGATGATAGGTGAATCCCTTTTAAAGGCTACACTCGCCGGGCTCAGTGGCTCAGCCTGTAATCCTGCGCCTTTGGAGACTGAGGTGAGTGGATTGCCTGAGCCCGCAAGTTCGAGACCTGCCTGGGGAATTTGGTGAGACTTCATGTCTACAATAAATCAAAATATTAGCCAAGTGTGTTAGCGCGCGCCTGTAGTTCCAGCTATTTGGAAGGCTAAGGCGGAAGGATCGCCGGAGCCCAGTAGGTCGAGGCTGCGGTGGCCGGGAGTGGCCACTGCACTCCAGTCTGGGCGACAGCATGAGACTCCAACTCAAAATAAATAAATAAATAAACAAACAAACAAATAAATAAATAAATAAATAAATAAATGCTACACTACTGTGAAAGATGAGGAGAGAAGAAAACATAGAATCTGTATTTTTTCTGTTTATGATATTATATAACCAAATGCTAATTCTATACATTACTCCCACTACTCATAACTTTGGAATCTGGGAGAGAGCATGTTGGCATAATAACAAAGCAATAACAAAAAAAATTTATTGAGCTATTTATTCTTCATAACAGGTACTGCGTACTTTCTATATATTGTATCATTTGATCTTCACCAGAACTATTATTGTTCTCATTTTAAATATGGAAAAAATGAGACTCCAGGAGAATAAACAAATTACTGGAGATAGTAGTCAGCTGATGACTAACCTAAGCAAAACAGAAACCTGAGTCTGACTCTAAAACCCATACTCTGTCATGACTGCAAGACAAGTAGTCCCTTACTTTTTAGCTCCTGTTAAACAATTTAACTGAGAAAGAGAAAAACAGGTCCTAACTGCTAGGTAGGACCTGGCCTGGCACCATCAATGAGACCTTGGACTTGTAAGAAATTAGCTGGCACTCAGGACTAGGCTTTAAGTGTTCCTCTGTTGAGTGTCAATAATCTCACAGAACACCAACATTAGACAAGGTTGCTTTGTGACCACAATGAAATGGGGGAAAAAAGTCAAGACTGCTTCATAATCTTGTCGAACACAGACAAAAGCAAGGCTACCCTGCAAACTACAAAAACACCAACACTCCTCCTGCTAATATGAATGATTTTATTTTTTACTATTTACAACTTTTAGCCTTATTTCATTCTTTCATTCTTTCATCCTTCTAGGTAGGAGTCACAAAGATATCGAGCCATACAATTACTTTCACTTTCTGACAGCATTTAATCAACAACATTTTTTCACTTCCTTGAAACTTCCCTAAAATTAACTAAAACAACTCCAAATTCCGTAAGTCATGACCTTGTATTAAGACAACTCCCGTGATTTCCAGAGTGTGTGTTCTATTGTTCTCCTTTTTACAATAAGAAATAAACCCAACTTGTTTAACTCCAGATATGTTTATTTCAGTCTTTGGTTGGAGAACATTAACAACTCCAACTGGAACAATGGCAGAATTGAATAATAAATGGATGTATTTGCAATTAAAGGTAGTAGAAATAACTGAATTGCGCAAATGTTTAAATTATAAGGCTATGTTTTTAATGTTATGTGTAGTTTTTCAAATTGTCATTTGGGAGTATTCAAAAATATGATGTCAGGTTAAATCATTTTTGAAATATTAAAGATATTATATTAGTTATTAGCATATTATATTAGATAGTATACAAGTGTGCCAATATATTATATTGTATATCAGAACCTTCTGTCTCTCTCTCTCTCTGTCTCTCTCTTCCTCTCCTTTTTTTTCTAGCCCCAACCACATAAACATACAAAATACAGCAGAAGAAAAAGTTATATGTGCTCCCTCATATTTAATCCTCTGGTTCCAGTCCTAAATTGCTGCAGAAACATTGTGACAGCTTAGCTGCCATCAGCCTCTCATAAGACTATAGCAGGCCTCCATAGGACACATTGTATACAGAAAAAAATCAGCTTGCCATATAGGGTGGGTGCTCTGCAAAGGTGCAAAAGGCAATTACATGTAAGCCACTACTCAGGCAATAACTGAAAGGTTTTGCCTGTTTCCAAATGTATTTCAGTACTCTGAAAGTGCCAGACATTCCTATATTCACTAACTGTAGACGCTAACCAAAATTAAGGATCCACATCACTAGATAGCTGTTGTCAAGATGAAAATACAAGAGGTTGTTCGTACACATCACTTCAGTAGAAAGTAGAAGTTTAAAGGTGACAGGTTTGCAATTTGAAAAGTAGGAATATTTTAACAGTGAAAGAGAGAAATGGTAAATTTAAAAATGACTGCTCCTAGGTAAGGCAACTCAGGAGTGTTGCTCCGTTGCCAGGGGCATGAGAACTGAGAATGCCCAGTAAGAGAAAAATGCCAAAACATCTCAAATATTGTGTCTCTGCTAGGCCCTGCCCATTGGGACAAAAGGCAGCAGCAGAAATGCTAAAATCATAGCAGAAATCTCAAATTTGACATTTAAAAATTTGTGTTAAGTAGGAAGGTATAACGGTATTGCTCATTGTGTCCTGGATGCTATCAGAATGAAATTTTTGCTTTGACATTTATAAAAGTGACAAAGACTCAAAATATTTCATGTTATGAAGGATTTTAAAGTTCTGCTAATATGTTTCATGATTTAGACTAATATTTTTAATATTTAAAAATATTATTTAAGCTGATATAATTTTTTTGAATTACTTGCTTCATGGAAACTAATGAAAAACAATATTTCGAAAGAAAGTAAAAAAACAGGGCATGGCGAGTTGGTAAGTAAAAGGGAGTTTCTGCTATCAATTTTGTTATATTCACATCCATATTTAGTATAGAATCTTCATTATTAGTTATGAAAATAATCACATGAAGTCATATATCATAATGGATTATACTGCATATGAATTTAAACATTCATTTAAAGATTTTTAAATCATACCAGGTATTCTACAAAGACTTATACCTAGTAATTTTTTAATTATACATGCCTGTAAAGTGTTTAGAAATGAGCCAGCTTTATGGAGCTCACTTAACATTGTACTGTAGCAGTTTATTTAAGATGGTAAAAATAAGAGTATGAATATAATCACTTCAGAGGATGTCAAATGCATCACAAAAAAATGACACATTAATGATAAGCTTACATTTTTAGATTCTCATTTTAGGAGTCTATTAATTATTAATATGACACTGATTAATTTATTTCCTTTTGTCTAGCCTACAAATCTACCACATTTTGAGCATTACATAAAAAGTCACAGTATAGCACCTCTTAAGAATCATAACAAATATTGAATGTTCAGTTCCACAGTTCAGCTACAATGATATATGAACAATAACAAAAAGATATATAAAGAATAGGCATTTGTATATCCATCTTTGTACTTGTTTCTCTTACATTTATTTTCCAATTGGATTTTTAACTTTGCTTTTCTTTTCAAGTCATATTCTACAAATTTTGTTTATAGTTAATATAGAGGAGTAGTACAATGGAATCTTTAAGTTATTTTTAAGATCATTTACTAAATTTTATTTTATTATTATTGTTTTTTTTTTGAGTTGGAGCCTCACTCGGTCGCCCAGACTGGAGTGCAGTGGCCGCTCCCGGCCACCGCAGCCTCGACCTGCTGGGCTCCGGAGATCCTTCCGCCTCAGGCTTCCAAGTAGCCGGAATTACAGGCATGCACTACCATGCCCAGCTGATTTTTTGATTTATTGTAGAGATGAGGTCTCGCTGCCCAGGCGGGTCTCGAACTCGCAGGCTCAGGCAATCCATTCACCTCAGCCTCCCAAAGGCATGGAATTACAGGCTGAGCCACCGATCCCGGCCATTTACTAAATTAATGTAGCAATTTACCCCAGTGTGACCTCTAGTTGCTAGGCTTGGATGCTACTATATATATATAAAAATGTGATGGAGATCCCATGTCGAGAACTGTATACTTTTAATGAAGAGATAAGAATAATCCCTCACTCAAGCACTGACCTAAACTGAACATTTATTTTTCATATGCCCATATACTCTCATTAATTATATTACTTCAATTGTTAAAATGATACCATATTGTCTAGAAGTGAAAAGAATTTCATTTGGTTTGCAAATGAGGAACTTTGCACAAATCATTGCATCTCCCCAAATGTTTTCAACTCTTTACATAATACATCAGCAAGTAAAGTTTATTTTACTAAATAGTTCCATTTACATTGCACACCAATATAGATATATAGTTATAGATACCAAAAAGACCTTTTCTTTTCTCCCACAGACTAGATAAGACTAACAGACGTTATAGATTAAGTCTAACTTTCCATTAAAGGATGCCCAGTTAACTTCTTGGCCTATTTTAAAGTCTTTCACATCTTTTCCCAACACACATTACCTCAGGATATGTTGATTTATCTGGGGTGGGAGAGAGGGTCTTGAAAGGAAATTTTGAGCTGGGCTCGGTGGCTCAGCCTGTAATCCCAGCGCTTTGGGAGGCTGAGGTGAGTGGATTGCCTGAGCCCGCGGGTTCGAGACCCGCCTGGGCAACTTGGCAAGCCCTCATCTCTACAATAAATCAAAAATTAGCCAGGCATGGTAGCGTGCGCCTGTAGTTCCAGCTACTTGGAAGGCTGAGGCGGGAGGATCACCGGAGCCAGGTCGAGGCTGCGGTGGCCAGGAGCGGTCACTGCACTCCAGTCTGGGCGACAGAGTGAGACTCCAACTCAAAAAAAAAAAGAAAGGAAATTTTGACTCCCCCATAACTATCATTTTGGTTAATAAGAACTGCTAGTGTTGGAACTATATTTAAAAGAAAATTGAAATCAAGTTCCTCTAAGGAAGAGTACTGATAATCTTATTAATTCAAGTATTCATTTATTAAGCAAATATTAAATTTTTGGTTATGTGTAAAATTTAGCCACAGAGATAATGAAATCCTTCAAATCCATATGCTTTGCCTTGAGGAATACATTTATTACCTGCTGTGATGTCACTGGGTAATTTTCCTGGCTGGTAGAGACTCAGCTTAAGTTTTCCATCACTAAGAAAGAGGAGGAGACCCCCTGAAACCAGTTGAAGTTCACTGAATAGCAAAAGTCCTGCCTTATTCCAAGTTCGAAATTGAAAAGTGGTAGAAACCTCATCCTCTCCGGAAGAGCCTGGCAGTTCTAAGTAACTCCTGGAGCTCAGAAAAGTCACAGGCAGAGATTGTGGTTGTGAACAAGAAAATGACACATTTCCCTGAAAATAAAATAAAGGAAAAAGCTTTCAGAATGTTGTTCACTTCACATTATTTATGTATTTATACAGTATTTGAAGCCTGCTTATCAATTTCACATTATATTTTAGTTAAAACAACAACTTGCTATCAACATGAAATCCAAATCCTGGCCATATTTCTTAAAAGTTCATCAACCATTTTTCTGGTCTTCTCTCCATTTCCCACTTTAAAATAAATTTTTTAGGTTGATTAAATCAAATTTTATTTAGAAGACCACACGTTGGAAGTAAAACGCTTGGTCATGGTCAAACAAAAGAATTTGACTAAATTATGATTCTGTAAGAAGTGAACCAGTTTTTATTGGAAACAAATACTTTGTTCCAATGAATAACATAACAAAAGCAGAAGAACAAACTCACTAACCCACAATGTAAAAGCAATTATAAGATTATCAAACCTTGTAAAAATGGAAACATTTTACCAGCTGTAGTTTGATCTTTTTTTTAACTGCTATAGAATAGTTGTATATATTTATGGGGTACATGGAGATATTTTGATGCACTTATAAAATGTGTAATGATGAAATCTGAGTAATTAAGATATCCATCACCTCAAACATTTATCTTTGTGCTGAGACATTATAAATCTTCTCTTCTAGTTATTTTGAAATACACTATACGTTTTTGATAATTATAGTCACCCTACTGTACTGCTAAACACTAGAACTTAGATATTGCCTCTTTCTGATCATGTTTTTGTACCCATTATCCTGCAGTTTGGTCTTATGTCATATTTGGATAGCTGATACCCAATCAGCAGCAAATACTCTTGCCAATGAAGAGTGGGTGTTTCTTGCACAAGCAGCTTCTAGAACGTGTGTTCTTCTAATAAAGTGGATGAAACACACACACATAACTATCTATACTATTTTATTTAAAATCATTTTTCCTTTTATAACAAAATAACTATTTTAAAATCTTGCTGGTTGCTATGGTTATATGAATACAATCAATTCACACAGAATTAGAAATAAAATGTTCTATAAATAATATTCTCATGATGCGCTTTGGGATTAGCTGATACAGCATGAGCTTCAATTTGAATTTCAAGCCATTTCAAGAAATTCATTCAAATAATATGTGTCAAACTGGTAAAGCTGGAAACCATGTTTCCCAGAACCCCCTTCCTTGTTTGCTTCTGGGTAAAAGCCAAAAGAGAGAGTTTAGGTGGTATTTGACAGTCAGAAGTAAAACACCAGCAACACATCTTGCTCCAAAGTTTTGTGTGTGCTTGATCACATGCAATAAAGGATGATCACAGAGGTGCTACTTTGTTCCCGTTTGTCTGTGCTTTCCTGCATTCTGCTCCATCCCTTCTTCCCAACACCTGTCCTGGCTAAACAACTGCAAGTTCAGGCTCTTTCTCAGACACTTGACTGGGGATCCATGAGACGGTGACTACCCAAAGGCAACAACTCCCAAAATCTCTCAGGAGCTTTCTTCATAGGTTGAAAATCCTCTGCAAACTCCAACTTGTCTACACACACCATTGCTTCAGGCAGAATTAGTAACTTCTCTGATCTTCCAACTTTCTCTGCTAGGCCTTCACTATAGTTCCTCTGGAAATTGTTGAGATCCAAGTCTCAAAGTAGATTCCTTGTTCATAACACTCCTGTGGTTCTGCTTCCCTGACTAAACCCTGATCCAAAGAGTTACACTTAAATTCTTCCCCATTTCCATAGGATTAGAATATAATGCACCCTGGTTAGCACTGATATTTGAACAGGATTGGCGAATGCAATGTTGTAACAACCTATTTGTCTCTTTTGTTTCTCATGAATGACCATGGCAAAACACAAGTTTTTCAAATGTCTCCCTAATATACATGGATGTTATCTGATTCCAAAAACTCTGTATGTTCATCTGGTGAATTTGTCAAGATATACACTATTAAGGAAATTACAAAGCAAAAGAAATTAGTCTCTTGGGAATAATATCACAACAAATTTAAAATATCAACAATAAAAAAACTGCTTACTTTATATAAAAATAATTATGCCCTTTGAATTATAATTCCTTCAGATAGAATTAATCCTTTATATGTATATTGACAATCAGAGAAAATTTTTAAATAAGATAAACTCTAAAACATCATATCAAATGGGAACCTAAAATGTAGTGATTTTACTGTGTAGAAAAGACTTATAATTTTCTCATTTATTTATATAAAGACTCTTACCATAATATTGACCTGTGGATTTTGTTGCTTGACCAAGTCAATGATATCCACTCCATTATAATAGAGATTTTCTAAACATCCACGAAAATTTTTATGTGGGAATGACAATGATTTTCCAGGTGCTGGAATCCCTCCAAAGCTGATCTTAGAAAGAAAAATGGCATCAATAATATTGTTTAGTGATTTTCTGATAACTTGCTTAAATAATTGTGATTAGCGACTAGGGCTGTAATTATCATAAGAGATCAATTTTTGTCACCCTACACTGAAAAAATTTAAGATACAGATTTAAAATAAATTTATATGCATTCAGTTTTTATTTACACTAAAACTTGATTATTCTTACAAGTTGCTAATCATACTTGGTTTTGATACATATTGGTTAATAAAAAAACGCATCCTTATATCATGGTTAAACTTGATCTGTTTAATAATGCAAACAATTATAATGGCATTGTATTTTATATAAGTTTCTGGCATACATTGATATTAGGGCATGTGGATCAATTGCTAATTAATTAATTAATCATTTCATTGCTACATTCTTCCCATAAATCTATACTGCTCACAAGTGCCCTGTGACACAAAAGAAATCATACAACACATCCTATATTTGCTTGCAGTAATGAGATATCTTGGTGAAAAAGAGTTCCTACATGTGATATTCTGTGACTACATATTTGAGATAAAATAGATGATTTTGCTTTATATTAATTGAAAGGACCAAAGACCAAATGGGATTCTATACAGCCAAAGAGCAGTCATTTTAACATTGCTTAGCTTTGTCATTTTTTTTTTTTTAGCAGTTCACTTTAATTTACAGAACTGATTTCCGAGGGATAGCTATTGATAATTGTCTTACAATGCCCCCAAGCCAGCTTTGTACTGTTTACTTTTCTAATCCAAGTTTGTCTTTTAGCCATTAAGAACCAGAATGACCTAATCTATTGTGATCAGCCCTTTGTGACCCATGTAACACAAACAGATTCCATCACCATGGCAACAGTTTTGTGACTAACCCACCCATCCATCACCATCACGTGCTTATTACCTGCCCCTTTGTAATAACATAAAACAGTCCATCACCCAGTCACCTTAATGACCTGCCCCCATGAAATAAAAGGTTTAAAAAGCATTCAACCTCAAACAGCCATGGCCAAGTTTTTGTTAAGCCCTGGTCCAGCCATATTTTTTGTTTTTGTTTTTGTTTTTTTTCAAGGACCCGCATGTGCAATAAGAATTGAGTCTCAGGACCAGTCGTGTTTTTATTCAGCTATTTCTCTGTAAGCTGTGTAGCCTCCTCCCCTATCTTGGGAAGGTGGATCTTCTCTCTCTCTCAGTCTCTCTCTCTCTAATCTACTTTCTAAATAAACTATATTTTCCGATCTATTTTCTGTGCAATTCTTTGCATCTTACTTGCAGCACTGACTCAGCACACTGATCCGCTGACATAACAATTCGCACAGACCTAGCATTAATAAATTAACATATATGAAAGATGAAGCCCAAAGTACTGTATGTTCAACTCTGCTACTGTGAGTCAGGCCACATTGGGAAACACTTCACCAGTTCTGTGATTCACTGTAAAAGGTGGATTCTTTATAGTGTATTTTCTTTGGAGAGATTAAACCACGTATACATCATAAAATCTCTATTAATTGAAACATAACTATCACACCTCATAATCAAGATCCAGATAATTGAATTCCCCCTGTGTGTGAAAATGATGCCTATGTTCATCCACTGTGAAGTTGACTTGTTTGCCCAAATGCTGAATGAGCACAGAATGCCAATGTTGATCATCCAGCAGGCTTCCCAGGGTGAGGTTGATCAGGGTGGGGGTGGAGGGCAGTTTAGCTTCACCTTAGAAAGGAAAAAAATAACAGCATCATTATTTCCAGTTTTTTTTTTAAGTTGCCCTTTTGTGAACCGGTATTTTTCATAATAATTGTAATCTCTCTCCATGCATTTCATTCCAAACACTGGTATGAATTTACCTGAAGTTTGAATAAAAAGTGGTCTCTCAACCTTGTAATTTCTTTCACTGTTAATTCTTTTTATTATTATTACCCATGCATGCTCATTTTCTATGTAAATTTGATCTTTGCTGCAATCTCATTATTTTTACTACTTCAATATTTTTCAATGACCCTTTCCTTTCTTTATGTTAGAAAATAGCTATGTAGTTCTATCAGTGCCATGTAAAAAAACATCAAATGAGGATTTTATGGAACTCGTGAAATATGAACCACATCTACATAAAAGAGCAATATTGACATACATACAAGTCCTTGAATCAAAAAATAAGGCACCTCTACGGTTAAAAGATAAACTATAAAAGTATAGAATTATCCAAGTGATGTCTAAATAATCCCATTTGCAAGCACCTCACCAAATAGCTTTACCTGAATTAATAAGTAAAAAGAGTTTTCCTCTTCTTAATTGCAATGTGATGTGATCTCCATTTGGCCCTTCCCTGTGGAGCAGAATCCCATCACTCTGCATGGTTTTAAATTTCAAAGAAATAATATCTTTTATTGAGTTCAGGGATTTTTGATCAAATCTGTAGAGAAGGGAACTTTTTCCATCAAGATCAACCACTTCAGATCCTAGAGACAAAGACATTATGTCATTCTAAGGAGAAATAGGTTTTCCATTAAGGTATTTTAAGTGCATACATATATTTAGAGAGAGAGCATTATGTATACTCACATATATATATACACTGACTCGTCTCAGCTTACAATGGAGTTACAGCCCACTAAACCCATCATAAATTTAAAATATCATTCGTCGAAAATGAGTTTAACACACTTAATCCACCAAACACTAGAGCTTGACCCAATCTACCTAAAATATGCCCAGGACACTTACATTCACCTACAGCCAAAGTCATCTAATACAAAACTTATTTTATGATAAAGTGTTGAAAATCTCATGTAACTTATTAAATACTCTACTGAAAGTTAAAATCAGAATGTGAATTGCATATAATTTTCTCAACATTGTAAAGACAAAAAAATCTTAAGTTGAATCATTGTAAGTCAGGGACTGTCTGTATAGTTCAGATACAGGCCAGTCATAATAAGGGAATATATAACCACTAAATGTCTAATTCCCTGTTGACATCCAGGGTTGATTTCATTTCAGTCTTTACTATCCTGTTTACAAAATTTTTAATCTAGAGATATATTTTTAAATGTATTGCTAATTTCCTCATATTATTAAAGGTTATTTCTTCTCATTCCACAAAAAGAAGAAAAAGTTATAATTAATATACATAAAACCACTTTGCATATTTCATAATCAGTGTTTTTCAAAGGCATTCTTGAAGTGCTGAAATTTAATGGGTTTTTTGGCTTCAGAAAAAAAGTAGTTGTGCTACCTCAAGATTCTTTCATTCATGAGCTATGTTAAAGAAATCCACACACATAGTATAGACTTATCAAATGCCACTTTGAGTATGTATTAAGCTGACCTTTGTGTTTTGTCTTATTTTATTATGTTTGTGGCTAAGTGATAGTATTTGAGGGCAATGCCATTTTCTGTCTTCTCAAGGGCATTGTTAGAAAGACCTTGACTTAATGATGTTGTAAAGTCTGTTCTGCTGTATTTGTGTCATAACTATGACACTGACATGTTTTTTCAGCTTTCTGACAGTGTCTTATCTACTTATTGTCAAGATCACTCTTATTCAGTTCATCTGAAAAAAGATGTCATGTTATACCGGTAACATAACAATACATCTGTCAAAATCAGTTGCACTCTGAACAAAATACACACAAAAAAACTGATAATACTCAGAAATCCTAGCGGTATTTTTCACATTTCATAATTCAAAGATTTTTTTAAAGCAATTACCCTTGAGAGTGCATTTATGCAATAAATGAAGAGACTAGAGAAACCTGATAAAATAAAAAGCTATTTTTCAACTGGTAAGCTGACTTTCTCCAGTCAACAAAATGATATTCCAGTTTACTCATTCTGTTTCATTCGACGAAATTACTACAGCTACTTATATGCCCAAAAATGCATTTAATTCAGATTATTCATCATATTTTATGTGAAACATTTATATAAACCACCTCTCAAAATGTTTTCCACCATTTTATGCTGCCATTTTTTGAAAATTCAGAGATTTTTTTTTTACATTTTGCTAACGTGCTTATAAAGAATTCATTTACCAAGTGTGCATGAGTAGATTTCATTCTGTAGAAAGAATAATGTCATCCAAACAATTATTCCTTGTTATATAGCTGAATGAATGTGCATGGTAAAAACAACTTTGCCAAATACAAATAATTCATCCTATAAGTATTAGATTACAATAAATTAAGAAAAATTCCAGTAAGAAAACCTTTAAGTGTGGACACATTTGGAGCAATGCAGTTATTTCTGAGTTAATATATTGCTCAAAGGCAACTATGATAGTAATGATTTTATTTTGGATAAGGAGTATTTTTGGAATTAGCTACCAAGAGAATTTGTTTCCAAAGGTTTAGCTTGTGTTAACTTACCCTACTGGTCCTTTTTTTCTTTTTTTACTATTGTTATCATTACATTGTAATGGTAATATACATCATCTGTGGCACCTAAGGTTTTTGTGCCCAGAACATTTCTTTTTTTTTTCCCCTGAGTTGAAATCTCACTCTGTCACCCAGGCTGGACTGCAGTGGCACACTCAGGGGCCACCCCAGCGTCGACCTGCTGGGTTCTGGCAATCCTTCCACCTCAGCCATCCAAGTAGCCAGAATTACAGGTGTGAGCTACCATATTCGGCTAATTTTTTCATTTATTTTAGAAACAAGGTCTCACCAAGGTGTCCAGGCAGGTCTTGAACCCGCAGGCTCAGGCAATCCACTCGCCTCGGCCTCCCAAAGTGTTGGGGTTACAGGCTGAGCCACCGAGCCCAGCTGGAAAATTTCAATAAGCAAAATGGGGTAGTGAAAAAAATATGACAATTAATGCCTAAAGCAATGGCATATTCTTAGACTGAAGCCACTTGCCATTTTCTTTCATTCTTACCGACTGTCTACTTGCTTCACATTTAAACAACTATGCAATCCAATGAATTAATTCAATAAAAATTTATTTAGCCCATCATATTTGAAGCATTGTGCTGGAAGCTGAGATAAAAGAATATTCAACACAAACATGTCTCCTGCCCTCATGGTGCTTATATCCAATGAGGGACAATATTTAACAAGTGAATAAGTAACTTCATAAAACCATCACAGATAGTAACAGGCATTCTGATAAGAGTTTCATAAGGATTGGGTCAAAGTAATTGAAAAAGTGTCTGTTCAGTTCAGTTCTCAGGTCTAAAAATCTGAGACAAAGGCAGATTTTAATCAGTAGTCATACCAGTCTCTACAGTCTTCAAGTCTTCTAACTTGTCCTAATTTGTCCCCTTAAACTAAAATTACTCTTCTTAGAACATTAGACTTCAAGAGGTCTAGACATTTTCCCAACACCATCCCATTCACTAACATAAAAGAAAACTCTGAAGATTGCTGAGAAACTATGGTAACAAAAAAATAATTCAGTGCTCAGCAGTAGGAGTGAAAAAGGGGAACTGAAAGGAAGAAAGTACAGGAGTAGGAAAATCAACAAATTGGCCATAATCACAGAGCAGATTTCTCATGCATGTAAACAATACCCTTCAAGGGAAAAAAGCTAAGTATAATTCAGAATGTGAGTACATTAGCAGTACAGAAAAACTTTAATCTCATAAAAGAAAAAAAAGATTTGGATGATTTTTGACAATATTATTTTACATAGAACACTCATTTGTAATTGCACACTTTTTAAATAAGTAACTTTTTTAAGTTTACACAAATATCAGATATATTTTTAAAATTTATTTTAAATAACACATACAAAATACCTTGTTATGATGCATAAAGCTAATGGTATAAAAACCTGAAAAATATGATCTTTTGAGAGAGAGAGAGAGAGCATTTGAATTCTATATATCATCAGCACCTAACTCTCTAAGGTTGTTGATGAGAAAGGTATACGAGGAGGACTTCCCAAAAAACCTCAGAAATGGCTGAGTGCAGTGGCTCACACCTGTAATCCCAGCACTTTGGGAGGCAGAGACGAAAGGATTGCCTGAGCCCACAGATTCAAGACCATCCTGGGCAACATGGCAAGACCTCGTCTCTACAATATATCAAAACCAAAAAAAATTAGCCAGACATGGTGGCGCACACCTGTAGCTCCAGCTACTTGGAAAGCTAAGGCAGAAGGATCACCTGATCCCAGCAGGTCGAGGCTGCAGTGGCCGTGAGTATGCCACTACACTCCAGCCTGGGTGACAGAGTGAGACTCTGACTTAAAAACAAAAACAAAAAACCCAGAATTTATTTATTAAATAATTGTGTATTTATTCTTACATGTTTAAACATCAGTCAACTTCAAGATACTCTCAATTTGATGCAATACACCTTTCAAGACACTTTTTCCACAGCTCAAAACAGTTTTTGAACTTATCAATTTTGATGTCTTTTAATGCTTCTGCTGTTTTTTGTTTCACCTCTTCCACGTCAGCATAACGTTTCTCTTTGAGGATTTTTTTCACCCAGTGAAACAAACATACAAAGTCACTTGGAGTAAGATCCGGTGAATGGGAAGGTTGGGACACTGGAACCATGCTGTTTTTGGTCAAAAACTGCTGAACACAGTGTGGTGTGGGCAGGTGCACTTGTAAATCATCCATCATGAAATGGGCAAACACATTGAAAGAATCTCCAAAAAAAATTCACTGAAGCAGAACATAACCTGTCACAACAATGCTTGCTGGTACACAGATGCCAATGGATTCTTAGAACACTTACCTAGTGGGGGAAGCCTGTACCACAAGGGAAATTATCCAAAGATAATTATCAAAAGATAATTCCATTTTTGAGCTCCCTCCACCACCCAAAATTGTCCCTCTTGAAAGTGATCTTAATGTTGTAAAGAAAAATTGATTTGTGATTTTAGTATTTATTACTGATTAAGGCCAGATTCTATAAAGTTACTTGTTAATTTGTAGATTTTTGTCCAGAAGAGATGTAAATGACCTCAGCTGGTAGATAATGTATCTTCAAAAGTTATGGGTTTATTGCCCTGTTGGACATTAACCTCTTGTGTATTTACTTAACAATATCACTCCAACATTCTTTTTCTGGAACATTCTTTTCTCCAATATTCATTCCTATATACACTCAGTCAATTGAGTTTTATTTGAATTACCTTTATGATTCCTTCATTAATGAATCAAGTACTTCTTTTATATGTGTTCAATCTGTATTTGAATGAGTCATATTTTTGTGTTTTGAAAATTTTACTTTAACACTCTCAACTTAAAAAGTACACTTGGACTTCACATCAATGACCAGGAAAGTAACATTTCAATTCTTAGCCATTACTGGCAATGTTCAGGGTGAATTTATTTTTCACTATTCCACAAAGATTCTCAGATCTTTGAACTACTAAAAAAGCACTGCCAGTGCAAATGCATTCTCACAAAAAAAAAATTCAGGGTGATTCATAACAATATCTATTTATATTAATGCCAATCTACAAAATATATAATATGGATAATAGAATTTTAAAATTAACC